ACCTGTGCAGAGATACTGCTAATAGAACTGTCAGCATGCCTGTGCAAAGATACTGCTTGTAGGACTGTCAGCACACCTGTGCAGATACTGCTAGTACCACTGTCAGCGCACATGTGCAGAGATACTGCTGGCAGCTCTGTCAGCACACCTGTGCAGAGATACTGCTAGTAGCACTGTCAGCACATCTGTGCAGTGATACTACAAGTAGCACTATCAGCACACCTGTGTAGTGATACTGCTAGTGGGACTGTCGGCACACCTGTGCAGAGGTATTGCTAGTAGCACTGGCAGCACACTTGTGCAGTGTTGTTGCTAGTAGCACTGTTAGCACACCTGTGCAGAGATACTGTGCTAGTAGCACTGTCAGCACACCTGTTCAGAGATACCGCTAGTAACACTGTCAGCACACCTGTGCAGTGATACTGCTAGTAGCACTATCAGCACATCTATGCAGAGATACTGCTAGTAGCACTGTCAGCACCTGTGCAGAGATACTGTTAGTAGCACTGTCAGCACACCTGTGCAGATATACTGCTAGTAACACTGTCAGCACATCTGTGCAGATATACTGCTAGTAGCACTGTCAGCACACCTGTGCAGATATACTGCTAGTAACACTGTCAGCACACCTGTGCAGTGATACTGCAAGTAGCAGTATCAGCACACCTGTGTAGTGATACTGCTAGTAGAACTGTCAGCACACCTGTGCAGAGGTATTACTAGTAGCGCTGTCAGCACACCTGTGCAGTGATACTGCTAGTAGCACTATCAACACACCTGTGCAGATACTGCTAGTAGCACTGTCAGCACTCTTATACAATGATACTTCTAATAGCACTGACAATATCACTGTCCATTGTTCACATATAGTGGCACTGTCAGCACCCTTGTACAATGATGACTTTTAGCACTGTCAGTATACCATATACAGTGATTGCTACTAATGGCACATTGAATAGTAGTTGCACTGGTAGCACTCCTATTCAGTGATCACTGCTTGTGACACTGATAGTACGTCTGTACAGTAATCATCACTACTCGCAGTGTACTAGTTTCACTGTCAGCACTCCTGTACATTGATCACTAGTACTGGCAATGTCAGTACCCTTGTACAGTAATAGTGTTAGTTCCATTGTCAACATCCCTGTACAGTGATCTCTGCTAGTGGCACTAACAGCACCTTTGTAAAATAACGAATAGTGACACTGGCACCACACCCATACAGGGATCACTGCCACTACTGGCACTCTCATCACTTTTGTACACTGATTACTACTAGTTACTTCGTCACCACCCCTATACAGTGATCACTACTAGTGGCACTGTCAGCACACCTGTAAAGTGATCGCTACTTCTGGGACTGTCAGTAGTAGTGGCACTGTCACCACTCCTGCACAGTGACCACTACCAGTGGCACTGCCAGTACCTCTGTATAGTGATCACTAATACTGGCATTATCAGCACCTCTGTACAATGATCACTAATACTGGCTCTGCCAGCGCCCCAGTATAGTGATACTACTAGTGGCACTGTCGGTACCCCTTACAGTGATCACTACTTGTGGTTCTGTCAGCACACCTGACAGTGATTATTACTCGTGGTACTGTCAGCACCCCTGTACAGTGATCACTACTACTGGCACTGTCAATAGTAGTGGCACTGTCAGCATCTGTGTACAGTGATCACTGCTAGTGGCACTGTCAGCACCCTTGTACAGTGATCACTGCTAGTAACACTATCAGCACCCCTGTACAGTGATATTATTAATGGCACTGTCAGCACCCTTGTACAGTGAACACTACTATTGGCACTGTCAGTAGTAGTTGCACTGGCAGCACCCCTGTACAGTGATCACTGCTAGTGGCACTGTCAGCACCCTTGTACAGTGATCACTGCTAGTGACACTATCAGCACCCCTGTACAGTACTAGTGGCACTGTCAGCTCTCCTGTATATTGATACTACTAGTGACACTCTCGGCACCCATGTACAGTGAGCACTCTTATACAGTGGTCAGTTTAAGTGCTTCTGACTGGTAACACTCTGTTTAGTTGTCATTTAAAGTGGTACTATGTGGTAACACCCTGAACAGTTGTCAATTCAAGTGGCATGGAGTGCCAACACTCCTGTACAGTTGTCACTTCAAGTGGTACTGAGTACCATGGAGTGTCAGCACTTCTGTACAGTGGTCTCTTCAGGTGATACCGGCTGATAACAATGTACAGTGGTTACTTCAAGTGGTACCATATTGGACTAAGTTCTGTCAGTAAGTTTCCTGAATCACGGGTATAAGTGCTGAGTCACGGGTATAAGCGCTGAGTCACGGGTATAAGCGCTGAGTCACGGGTATATACACTGAGTCACGGGTATAAGCGCTGAGTCACGGGTATAAGCACTGAGTCACGGGTATAAGCGCTCACGTGTGACACTGCACACAGAATATTTTATACAGATTATTAACTCTAAGTGTTTACTAACGCAGTATAATCCATAAAGCTGTTATGTCTGATTTAGTTCCATTAGATTCCCCTGATTATGTTTTCCAGCTCAGTATGCGACCTTTAACAGTCACATAACATCCAGGTACCTACTTATACTGCTAGCTGAATAGAGGTGACAATTGTTAGGAAATATCCTTAACATTTCCACTTGGCTTGGGATCAAAGCAAGTTCTTTTATACATGAGCTGAAACTGATATCATTTGAGCCTCGAGCCAAACATCGACCACACTGAAAGTGCTGAATATCCACTGCGATATTATGTATTCATGGATAAGTGCTAAAAATGTAGCGGCTATAGAGAGCCTCGGTAATGAATGGGGATCACTCATACCAAGGATAAGTAGCGTATCTCGAATGTCCTTAACTAAAGACTTAAAGTAAAATTTCGTAACAAACAGCCTGGTGAAGGTCAACTTTGGCAGAGATACTCAAGTCGACACAGCGAGGTGTCTTACTGACTTTCAAACTGTCAGTCATGGAGGATTATCAAGATGATAAGGTTAGCACTCAATTATGAACAGTCGTCGTGATGATAAGATTCAAATTAAAGCAACTCAATCACTCCAGTCAGCAACTTATTTGTGAAAGTATCCACAACAAAGACAAGACTGGAGAACTAATCCCAGCACGAGCAGCCTAGCAGTAAGTAAGTACCTGGGTATTAGCAGACTGTTGTGGGTTGCATCTCAAGAAAGGTCCTAGTATACGTGAAACAGGTCTGGTTTAATTAAAGATAGTGAGGTAGGATAACGTCTCTATGATAACGGCTCTCAGATTATAAATAAATGAGGTTTGATAACAGCTCTGAGACCGTTAATGACGTGATCTAGGATAACAGTTCTGAGACTGCAAATAAACTTATATACGATATCAGCGCTGAGACTGTAAATGAATTTATATACAATGACTCCTTGGAAGACGTTTCAAAATACTCCCTAATGTGACCTCCATCCAAGACACTGCAAGACTCCAAGCGGACATCAACCAAATCTTCAAATGGGCCACTCAAAACAACATGAAGTTCAATGAAGAGAAATTTCAACTACTCAGATATGAAAAACCTGAGGAAATTAAAACTCTCTCAGGGTATACGACAAATTTTAACCATATAATAGAGCGTAAAAGTATTGTGAAGGACCTGGGAGTGATAATGTCAGAGGATCTCGCCTTCAAAGGCCACAACAATGTATCTACCGCATCTGCTAGGAAAATAATAGGATGGATAATGAGAACCTTCAAAACCAGGGACGCCAAGCCCATAATGATTCTCTTTAAATCGCTTGTCCTCTCTAGGCTGGAATACTGCTGTACGCTAACTCCCCCCTTCATGACAGGCGAAATTGCTGACCTGGAGAGTGTACAAAGAACTTTCACGGCACACATTAAGTACCATAAGGCACCTAAATTACTGGGAACGGTTAAGTCCTTTGATTTGTATTCCCTGGAACGCAGGCGAGAGAGATACGTGATAATATTCACTTAGAAAATCCTAGAGGGATTAGTACCAAAGTTGCACAAGAAAATCACTCCCTATGAAAGCAAAAAACTCGGCAGGAGATGCAGCATTTCCCCAATGAAAAGCAGGAGCACCACGAGCACACTGAGAGACAACATAATAAGTGTCCACTTCCCAGCATACATAAGAGGAATTACCAATAGACCCCTGGCTGTCTTCAAGAAGGCACTGGACAGGCACCTAAAGTCAGAACCTGACCAGCTGGGCTGTGGTTCGCTGGTCAGTTTGCGTGCGGCCAGTAGTAACAGCCTGGCTGATCAAACCCTGATCCACCACGAGACCTGGTCTCAGACCGAGCCGCGGGGGCGCTGACCCCTTGCAACACTCTCCGGGTAGACTCTTAGTAAACTGACAGTGTGTTATATACTGCATATATTGTTTATGCTATTTATATTGTGTATACTCTATTGTGTATATTGTATATATTGAATAAATTGTAGAGCACGTTTTGAATATATTTTATATACTGTGTATACAGTATATGCTGTACTCCAGTTGTTTTATCTTCATATTTTACTGTTTATTTATTGTTCATACCTGCCTAAAGTGTTTGAATATTTATTTCTCGAGATTTTAACAAAATCCTCACATATTGTCAGTAATCTTACCAATAATTTATTATTATTATTAATATTATTATTATTATTATTATTATTATTATTATTATTATTATTATTATTATTATTATTATTTTTTTATTATTATTATTATTATTATTATTATTATTAATTATTATTATTATTATTATTATTTTTATTTTTATTATTATTATTATTATTATTATTATTATTATTATTAATTATTAATTATTATTATTATTATTATTTTTATTTTTATTATTATTATTATGTGTTGATGATGTTATTATTATTATTATTATTATTATTATTACAATTATTATTATTATTATTATTATTACTAATATAATTATTATTATTATTGTTATAAATTATTATAATTTTTATATTTTTCCATTTAGTTACAGGAAGGTAGCGAGGCCAGGTGTGGCCTGTACTCAGTGGTGTTACTGGCATCAAGATGATGGGTCGTCGCAAGTGGTGGTGTCTACAGTGGCTGACAACTCTCGTGTTTGTCTGTCTGTGTGTGACTCTCTACTACAACGTCGAGCCTCCGCATCCCCGCATGACCGTTAGTTCCATTACGTAGTGTTTCTCTAAACACACTCCACTTACATGAAAAGCAGTTATTGTGTTTTGAAATTATTTTTATTATTTGAAGACATCAAAATTTGATATACAGTGGAATTGAAATTACTTACTTGCCTTAAGGAAAGTGTTAGTGGGAGATAATTATTCGGATTATTAACTCAGGAAGAATAATAACCCAGAATAACCACGAAAGTCAAGCAGAGTGGTTTATTTCTCTTGGGATCATCAAGTTCGACAGTAGGATGCGACACACAACACCCAACTAACTTCTAGGTACCTATAAAATGTTAGTTGAATAAGGGCAGCAAGAGTAAGAGAAATTGTACTCGCAAGTCTCACCCTACTCTAGACTGGACCGTGTTGCTCTGGTGTGAGGCAGAAGTTGTCAGTAAGCTACAGGGTGCTCTGGTGTGAGGCAGAAGTTGTCAGTAAGCTACAGGGTGCTCTGGTGTGAGGCAGAAGTTGTCAGTAAGCTACAGGGTGCTCTGGTGTGAGGCAGAAGTTGTCAGTAAGCTACAGGGTGCTCTGGTGTGAGGCAGAAGCTGTCAGTAAGCTACAGGGTGCTCTGGTGTGATGCAGAAGCTGTCAGTAAGCTACAGGGTGCTCTGGTGTGAGGCAGAAGCTGTCAGTAAGCACAGGGTGCTCGTGGTGTGAGGCAGAAGCTGTCAGTAAGCTACAGGGTGCTCTGCTGTGAGGCAGAAGCTGTCAGTAAGCTACAGGGTGCTCTGCTGTGAGGCAGAAGCTGTCAGTAAGCTACAGGGTGCTCTGCTGTGAGGCAGAAGCTGTCAGTAAGCTACAGGGTGCTCTGCTGTGAGGCAGAAGCTGTCAGTAAGCTACAGGGTGCAGGTTGCCTTCTCTTGCTTCTCTCTTAGAAGCTCACGAGTAGATGTAAATTTATAATTTATTGTTGCACTACTGCAATATCTATAGTTTCAATATGTTAGGCGTGTGGATGGTATGACATTGTTGATAGTTATAAGTATATTAACTGGATGTATTTTGGTCTCTGCGAGATCCGAGAAAGGTATCCCTGGATTCTTTAAGCCCAGCCTTGTCTATTTCAATACACGCAAGGGTGCAGCATAAATGTTTAATGTATCTAAATATCTAAGTATTTAAGGATGATACATCAACGTTTAGAGTATACTTCAGCGTTTAAGGTTTGAAGCCAATCAGAAAGACATTTTTCCACTTCTTACTTCTTGCAGAGAAACAAAAATCAATTTAATTTTTTTCTTTAGTAAAGTTACCTGTGTTTAAGGTTAAAGTCATTCATAATACAAAATCTCCAGTTATTTCACAGACAGTAATTTGTTTCAAAAAATTGGCAACATGAAAGCTGAATATCAAAATGGTATACAATACCGACAGTTTGATATACTAACCTGTCGGTATTTTATACAACTTTGATATTCACTCTGTCAGACACTGCAACACAATGGCATCTTGGTACAGAAGAAAAAACACCTTGGACAACTTTTTCAGGTGAGAATAGTTGGATGTGAGAGGGACGTGACCTCTCAATGATTATATTCTTTCTTCTACTAGTGGCCGACATCTCACCTCCTAACAGTGTAAGTCTTCATACTGTCGCTTAAACTTCACATTTTTTCAGACTATGGAACAGAACTCTTCTCCAGGCTGAGGGATTCACCACCTCAAAACTACGTCTTCAAGGGTGATGGACTGATTACATCGTCTTCGTCTCTACTGTTTCTGCCAACTTTCAGTACCCGACTGAGAAGCCTACTGTGTAGGCGAAAAGTATCGGAATAAAGATGCCTAACTGTTGCCTATGTGTCTTACTTACCAACATGACAGTTACACAACCCTAAAATCAAGGTGAAGCTTATTTCAAGTTTTCAATACTTATGTATGATAACGAGGACCAACTTCTACTAACAGCTGGCTGCATGCTACTCTAAACTAAAGTTACTTAACCCATTCCAAGACTCCTGGAATAATGATAATAATAATAATGATAATAATAATAATAATAATAATAATAATAATAATAATAATAATAATAATATCTTTATTTACTGCAAGTACTTGTACATGGTATACAGTCCTAGCTGATATCAATGACATACTACTACGTATATAGAAAGCCCCTTGTTATGCTCCGCATGTCGGGCAAATTAGGTCAGTGTCCCAGGATGCGACTCACACCAGCCAACTAACACCCAGGTACCAATTTTACTGATGGGGAACATAGACATCAGGTGTAAAGAAACACGCCCAATGTTTCTACTCTGGCTGGGAATCGAACCCAGGCCCTCGCCATGTGAAGCGAGAGCGTTAGCCACCAGGCTACCAGGCCAGGATATCTTCCAGAATCCTCGGTTATGGAGCTTCAAACATTCACTAAAGATGTCAAAAAATACAACGATGAGGAAAAGTGAAATTCATATATGTAGGTGAAGATTTGACTATTTTAGGTATAAAATAAAAAAAACTATTCCCGTTAAATCATGGTAAATAAATTTAAATTTGCCTCTTCTGAACGACTTCTGTATATGAGTTAGGTCTGTGTGCAGGCTAGTTTGTTGATGTAATAAGTGAACAACGTCCTCGCCGGAATCCATCCCATAACTGAAGAATGACTGATCTGACTGGCTTCAAATTTTCTCTACTGGTATGGTCTCCTGAGCTCAAGACTCACAAGGAAGGTTCCTTGACGCTGGTGAGGGGCTCTTGATCTAGGGAATTGGATCTGTGCTCCAGTTTCGTGAATTAAGTCTGAATACCTTCGACATCCTCCCTACAGGCCCTGTATAATCCTACGGGTTTATCGCTTCCCCTTGATTAAAATACTCCTGAGCTCAAGACTCACGCTGCCATCAGGTGGGATAAGTTCCAATTTGCCCATTTTATTCGCCTCCTACAATCGGCTTCAAATTTCCAGCACTTTTCCAGGGAAATGAGCGTCAAATTCTTGGAACATCTGGCATGTTCATGTGCCATATAAACAATGTTATTGAACACATTTTTACCATCCTGGAATACCTCATATAACTTCCAAAATCTCAGTATCGCACATTTAGACGTTCCTAAAAGGTGCCAAAAAATACTAACACGGTGGAGAGTAAAATTCAGATGTGAAGATTCATCAAGTTTGATTATTTTGTGTAAGATAGCGTGATTTTTTTTCCCCTATTAATAAGTCACGTTAAATAAATTTAAATTTACCTGTTCTGAATGGCTTCAGTATTCAATGGGTGATGCATCTTATCGTCAGGATAGTAACTGTTAAGTTTCTTTTGCGAGCAGGCAAATAAATACTTGGAATCCGTGTGACGACTGGAGAATGACTCAACTGATCGACTTCAAACTTTTATCACTGGTATGGTGTGGCATGCAAAAAGTACGTAACCTTTATTCGGCGCATGTACATACCCTCATTGAAAGGTTATCTCCCCCAACCAGCAAACCAGGTACTAAGGGCTGACGATGGGGCCCCATCGTTCGATCAGTACCCAGGTTCCAGCCAATGAGAAGATGGTTTTGGCAATTGCAGAGGTGTTGTGGGTACCACACACCTGTCTGCCCTTGTCATTCCCATTCTAAAGCTGGTTGAAGCATGGTCTGCTCTCTAGTGGCTTCTATTCTGCCTTGCTTACCGTGGAGTGCACTAATACCTATTGTTGTACATAGTGTACATAGTGTACATAATTCTGTTCTTACTTGGTGAAGGATAATATAAGTCAAAAGTTTTTCTGCTGTGTTTATTTTGCTTCCTTTACACCCAGGATAACAGGTCATTGGACTCCTGGGTTGTAATGTGTGGTCTTCTGTACACAAGGTTCACGCTGACATTAAATAACTTAAGTCCCAATTTTGTAGTCTTTACTTAATAAATAGTGATATTTCCTAGTTAATAACTTAAGAATGCTTCTTCTGATTAGCTTCAAAATATTATTCATGATTCATTCTATTATAATGAATATAACAGAAGTTTAGCCCGAATAGATAAAAATTTGAAATTTTACTGAAAGTTTAAAAAATTGGAATATTGGGAATTAGATATCACTGGAAAATGACTTTTCTGATCGGCTTCAAACTTCTGCCATAGGAGTTTTATTAAAACAGTTTGTCACTCCCTTTGAGCTTTGTATATTTCAATTTACCATTTTTTTAAGCAAATTATTTTACCTTGTAATAAATAGGGAATGCCTCTTCCGATGAACTTCAAACCCTAAAAATGAATAGTTTATAAATACTAAAAATTATTGTTCATAATTGAGTCATAATCTCTTCTATAAAAACCGTTCAGTCATCTAATCGATGCAAAACGTGGATACAACCTCAAGATTTCAGATATTTTATCATTAACAATGAGGTGTTATGTCATATCCTTTCACACCCATAACGTGATAATACAACTTCTGCGTCTTCCAGCTTGATGTGCTTGTGTATTTTAGGATACTGGTCTCTTTCGTCTCTCTGAAAGGTGTGAATTACATTTGGACAGTATAAGCCGTAATTTACAATTTTTTATTGAAGAATTTAGATATCGATTTCTTTATGATAACTAATGAATGCGTCTTCTGAGTCTCTTCAAATCTTCGAGGCTAATATTTAGCTGCATTATGATCTATGACACAGTGATCTATTCCAGTCGTGTGCATTGAGGCACATGGGACTAAGATTATGGAATATCAAGTGTACACAAAAATGTGGGTACAACCTCAAGATTTCAGATATCTTATCATTAACAAAAATGTGTTTTGCCATATTTTGTAAGGTTTGCCTAGGGGTGTCTGTCACAGGTTGGATGTTTGAACACACTAAGACATAATGTTCCAGTGCATGGTTCTGTCTCTGTCCACACACTTGGCATTTTATGTCACTAACATCTCAATACAAGCAGCATTGCCAGAGTTACATACATATAGCCTAGCCTAAGTCTAGCAGTAACAACATTTTGCAATCTACTGACCTTGTTACTTTCTTCATAGATATGTTTAACTGGACACA